ACCCCATTGACGCTGCAAACAGAGCAAAATCTCAAAGCCAGAGTCCTCAGGGATGAGCTCCCCTTTCAGTTAAGGAAGTACAAGGGGCTGGGCTGATCAAATAACACATCACAGGAGCCAAAGGAAGTGCACAGAACTGACGGTTAACAAGCAGTTCTGGGCCGGAGGACTGACAGGCTCCAACATGGGGACCAGCCTCTAAACCTAAGCAGAACGAGAAACACAGGGCCTGAGAAGACGGGCAAGTGCGTGCATGAGTGAAAATGACCAAGACCTGACCACCCCAGAAAGAAGGGGAAAGGGCTCTTCAGGTTTTGGAGAGTGAGCAGGGTCCTAAACAGACATCCCAGTTTGTCATCATCCAATCAGCTTTTACTCAAACATGGAGTATGTGGCTGGGGATTACACAATAACAGACACAACTCTTCCTTCAAAAACCTCATTTTAAAGCAGACCTACTTAGGTCTATCACCAATGTAATGACTATCAGGGCTTTTCTGCTGAACTTACACTACGTAGGAAAGGAAGGCCGACAGCTAAAGATGGTTTAGATTTGGGGCCTTCCTGAGGGAAGAGTGCTTCTGCTCTGGTCTGAGTAAGAACTAGATGCGGTGGGAGAGGCAGGTGCAGCTGGCAGGTGTGGCCAGGTCAAAGACAGCAGGAACCGAAGGGCGAACTCTGAGTGCAGTATGTCCCCGGGCATTCTCTCTGCATTTAGTCCAGAGGGCACTAAATGCAGAGAGGATGCTGGAAATGTAAGCAGTCCATGCTGCAGATGGAATTTTACCCCAAGAATAAATGGAAGCAACTGGGGAGGTTTAAAGCAGGACTGAATTTTGGAGAGAGTGCTCTTGAGGCTGAACTGGAGACGGGGAGTCCTTGCAAGGCAAGACCAGTTAGGAGGCTGTTGTAGAGAGCCAGGCGAGCGATGACGGTGGTGCCGAGTGCACACACCTGGACAGGGGTCAGTACCACCACAGGGGCCTCTGTTAACCTTCATGAATTTCACCAGGAGGGTGGGATGCGAACACACTGTCTGATGCAAAGACATCATCTCGTGGCCTCATTTACCACCTCCAGACCGGACGACCTGAGTATGAATCCTGGTTCTGGCCCTAGACTTCTTAACTGCTTGTACCTCAACGTCTTCCTGTCTAAAACAGGGATAATAAAGGTATCACGTGCATAGGATATGGTAAAAATTAAGTGAGCTAACAGACACACCAGAGCTGCAACAGATGAAGATAAAGTGAGTTAGTAAAACATCGATCTCTTTCTGTCCTGTTTTGTCACATGCGGGTTGGATTGCAGGAGGTAGGCAGCCGGCTTTGAAGATTTGAGCATGAACCAAAAAATGTAAGGTAGCTCAAGAATAATTTACTCTATAGAGTTTGAAGTTGTGTTACTAGGTGCATGCATTTAGAAGCTGCTATCTTCCTGGGAGGTTGATCTATTTCTTTTTAAGTTTTGAAATGCAGCTACTAGATCATTTAAAATGATTATGTGTGGTGTAGGTTAAATTTCCGATAGACAATGCTGACCTAGAGGTAGGGTAAGGGATAAGTCCATACCAGCCACTGAAGACTGGGTGACTAAGAACTTGACTGCAGAAAATGGCAGAGTGAAATATCAGAGGCCATACTCTGTCCTTGTCTCCCTGGTCGCTGGAGTTTCTAGATAAAAAATGAGAGCATGTTTGTGAAAAGCAGAAGTGGGAGGAAGGACGAGATAGAAGAGGATGAAAAAGTAGAAACTTAGGAGGAGAGGGAGGCCAGGGACGAAGAAACTCTACGTGTCTAATAGAAAAACCACCCTAGCTTGGAACTCAATACACATAAGCCTTTAATTATGAAAGTAGCACGTGGTCTTAAAAATAGCCGTAACGTTCAAAAGACTCAAGTACTATTCCATCACAGTAGATCTTTTTTACTTGTTATTTTTATCAACCTTCTCAAATCCTATCACATGATAACTATGAAAATCTCACATATTAAAAACTGAAGGAAGAAAGAGAAGTATTCATAGCAGTTACTAATAACTTAATCCTGTATATTTCCCCATGCTGAAACAGAACAAAAATGTCTTATATGGCCTTAAACTCTCAAATAAAAAATGTAATTTTCTTCTAGGTCATGGGGAATTCTTTTTTTTTTTTTTTTTAAGATTTTTGCTATATAGTGCATGCACTTGCCAGAGAGAAATAAAGAAAAGTGAGAAATCACCTCCCAGGTGGGATGGTCATGCTGTAGGCCCTTCTCCTCCATTCTCCTCTGGAATTTTGGGCACACACACACACACACACACACTGGGCGTGACTCTCAAGTCACCAGGTCCAGGTCTCAAACCTCAGCTGGCCACATGGGAATCCAGCGCCTTAGCCACTATACTACCTGCTGGCCCCTGGAGAATTCTTAAGTACAAATGGAGAGGTGTAAAGAAAGCAGATCAGAGGAGTAGACGTAAAGTGGAGAGAACACGATGTTACGAAAGATCAGGAGGAGAGGCTTGTTTGCTGTAGAAAAGGTGAGAGTTGAGATTACTCAAGCAGTTTGGCGTGAGAAACTCTTACCTAACGTCAGAAGCTTCAGGAGCTAAAGGGTTCCCCACAGGTCAGCCAGCTCTGCTGCCTGGCCCAAACGGCAGCTGGGGCCTGGAGGTGACTGCACTTAGTCAACCAGACAGGGCACAGCCAGATGGAAACTGATCCTGACTCCCACCTCAGGCTCCTCTGAACTACTGCCATAGGAACAACCCATGTGGTTATTCCAAAACTGGGATAAAATAGTGTGACCCATGGCTCCCCAACCTTAGCAATACACACATAAAGAATACCCCCACTCCAGGGTAGAAACCCATCAGAAATACGCACACACGTGCTTACAGCTAGGCACTAGAGTGGTTACAGTAGCCCTGTCTGCAATAGCCGAGTGCTGGAAACTGCTCCAGTGTCCATGGACAGTGCAGGGAGAAGTATGTGACGCAGTCCTGCCCAAAGGCCACGATCAGAAATGAAAGGAACCAACAGCGTAATGGCTATGTCGCAGGACTCCCATGGAGTCGACTGCAGTTTGTGTCCTGGACCCAGTGGCTTGAACTCATGCCAGGCGCGTGTGCATGCGTGCTCAAGATCCCAAAAGGAGAATGGAAGAGAAGGGACTGCGGCATGGGCATCCTCCCTGGGGGGTGACTTCTCGCTTTCTGTCTGTCTCTCTCTCTCTGCCTTTCTGGCGAGTGCACGTGCCCTATAGCAAAAACCTCTCAAAAAAAAAAAAAATATATATATATATGAGAGTAGCATGCTATAAACACAGGTAGCACATGAGTGAGCTTCAGAAACCCACAACTGAGGGAGTGGGTTCCCACATACATGGCACACTGTCAGGTGCCATTTATATAAAGCCTGACCAGGGAAGTCAGGACAGGTGATGTTTGGGGAGGCAGTGACTGGAAAAGGGAGCTCCTGGGGCCCTGGTAAGTTCTGTTTCTTGATCTGGATGCTGAGTGCACGGGTATGTTCAGTTTGGACAATCCATTGAGCAGTACATGTATCTATTTTTCTGGGGTATCTATTTTTCCAGCTAAAAAAGAAAAGGCTTTGTCGGATGTCCAGGTAAGACAAGCCTGGCAGTATCCTTGTGCTCCTCTAAGCTCATTTTTCTTATTTTCCCCCTTAGACATCTCACTTGCTCTCCCTCTGCACACGTGCTTAATTAAGTGAGGTCTCCCTCCAGAACAGATGCATGTCACCTTCCACATGTGTGGCTTCTTCCCATACCAGCCTGTGACCCATGGCCCCCAGGATGCCTTCGCTGACTTAGGCCACCCACACTTGATCCAGCCCTGGCTTCTTCAGCAGTCAGGGAGTTCGTATCACCATTAACGTGTGTATATTCCCAGCGGTGTTCCTTCTGCCAAAGCTTACCAGCTACACTAAAAAACACGGAGCATGCCCTCTGGGAGCCATCTCGATCCTCTGTCGTCTCCGCGGGTAGCATGAATTAAATCATTCCTCGGGAGCTTGAAGGCTGTGGAAGGCGAGCAGCAGCCTTTCTCCCAGGAACCGTGGGTTCTGAGACACTGGCCTCTGTCCCCCAGTACTGGGGAAGAATGCCCACTGAGGACCCCCAAACCACTTTCACTGCCCTCTTCCTCCCAAGAGCCAACCTGCTAGACAAACCCCCCTCACTGCTGCAAGGACCTGGAAGGGAAGCAGGGGAGAACTGGAGAACGCAAACCAAAGAACAAAGAGGCTATTCTTAGTCTGGCTTTACTATGTCCTTAAATTTCACCACCAGTGGGGCCAGCAGGTGGTGTGGTGCTTAAGGGCGCTGGACTCCCACACGGCCGACCACAGTTTGAGTCCTGGACCTGGAGGCTTGCTTTCTCACTCTCTCTTTCTGTGTCCCTCTCTAGTCAAAAGCAAGCAAGCAAGCTAAATAAAATAGTTCTTTAAAAATTTTTTTCACCACCAGTCTAGTTTTTATATATATATTTTTTTTTCTTTACTCATGAAAGAATGTGTGCATGTGCAAGTGCACACAAGAGTGAGAAAGAGATGAGATGAGCACCCTCCACGGGGTGGAGGTCACGCCACAGCCCCCTCCCACCAGTCCTCCGCCCCACCTGCCTGCATGTTTTGACCTGATCAGACCAGGGATTTGAACCACAGTTGCCATGCGGGATCTAGCTTCTACTGAGCAGTGCATTACCACTGCACCATGGCGTCTTCCTTTGCCACCAATCTAGTTTTATAACATGGAACAATTTGTAATTTCTGCCCAAATTGTAAGAATTTGCAAGAGTCACAAATGAGCTTTTAGAACATATGCCTGCCAGCCCACCCTCTCTGTCTTCCATAAGCTCCTCGCCTTCCCCTCTCACCCACCTCTTTTATTGCCTAGGAGAAGAAACAGTCCTACTCATAACCAAGAAGGTGCCAGGGTTATTTCATCGCGCAAAAACAGCCCCCCGGACGAACAACAGACACGAAGAAGACTCACATCAGGGCATACTGGTTACAGTGTCCTCCTTTTCCAAGCCATGGTCGGGAGTGAGGTGACTGTAAATGTTAGGCACTGCTCTGGGCTGTCAAGCTTTCAGGTTTCAAATGAAACCACAACCTGTCCTACGTTTGCGGTCTGTGCCTGTTCCTTTAGCAGAAATGGACGCCACCGTCTCAGGACGTGTATCTTTCTGCAGAAGAGGATTAGCAGTCATAAGCCAATGGGAGGGCTGACTAAACACACGGGGCAAGGGAACAGCCTCCTTTCTCCGTGGGACCCCAACACTCAGCACCGCCATTGGCACAAAAAGCAGGTCACCCGTGAATGCCAGATACAGTACAGCGCATGAAGCCGGTTTCCCGTTTACACACGAGATACCTAATAAGCAAAGGCCACACACACGAATTAAAACACGAGGATAGAAAATTCGTCTTTCAAGCTGGCTAGCAATTCTGCCAAACCCCTTTTACTTCTAAACATAATTTGTATGGTCAGAACCAGGAAACGGGGGTCTGAGTCTCTCAGGCATCAGCAAGTTAAGCCTCCGGGTCCAGACCGGGAGACCGAACTCCGTAGGGGATCCAGGGTCTGCCAAGGTCACCCAGCTGGAGTGGGGTAGGCAGGAGCCTGCCTGTGTCTATTGTCAGAGCTTCTCCAAGACGCTCTCTGCAACCCCTGCGTTCTTCATATCAAAGGATTACAATGAACGCGTGCCCGCGTCAAGCCACCGCTTACAATTCCCAGGAAGCCCAAAAGGTCGCCAGAACGCGTCTCCTCCGCAAGGCTGGCCGCAGAAAGAGGGCAGGGAAGGTCACTGGCGAATTTCTACCAGCAGGCTCCATATTTCACACCTTCTGGATACATGCAGAGGGCGGTTTCCCGAGCTTAGGTACCTTTCAGAGGATCCCCAAGCTCGTCCAAGGGAAATTGGCTAACTCGGCTCTGCGGGCTCAGAAGCTTCCAGCAATGAATTAAACCCCGAGCCGCTGCATAAAGCGGCAGGAGAAAAGGCCACTGCGGTGAGACCCGACACCCAGACCATTCTCCGCGGCCCCTTTGCCGCGTCCACACCTGCGCTGACCGCGGCACCCAGCGCACGGTCTACTCGGCCCTGGCCCACCACCCTCGGCCAGCGACCCCGTTAGGCGCCTCCCGAGGAGCCTTGCCCTGGGCTCTGCCTGCGGGGGCTGGGGCGGAGCCTCCCGGCTA